TGTTGACACTGCAGAAATTCTACCCCTCTTGGAGAAGTACCAAAACATTGCTACCCTTGAGCAAAGTCTATGTTTCAGCCCCGGCTGGGGTGGGGAGCTGCTGCTGTCTGAGGCTTGATCAACTTTTTGGGAGAAATTAACAGAGGTCTCATCGAAGGTCAGACTGTCAAAGGGTAACCACAGGCCTGCTGAGGTACAGTCTTCCCTGCTCAGTCTTCCTCAAATCATCTTGGAAGAAGGATGTCGAGTTTGAGCAGGAGAATGAAAGCCTCAGCATGTCATTGATATAAATTATATTGACCTTCTTTGTACATCAATGTGATTTATTAAACTTGGTTCGGACAGCGGTGCTTGATGGTCAGCTTGGAGCGTTTCGTTTCCTGTCATTACTGTTTAGCTGATTATGCAAGGTTGCTGTGTTTTCCCCCTGAGAGTGAATAAGACATACCGCTGCAGACGAACTCTGCAGACACAAACCTTGGCTGGCTATTCAGTATGAGTTGGCTGTAGCAAGCATTGGGTTAGCAAAGTGGACTAAACTTGCATGCGATTAGGCTGTCAACATCTGAAAATATAGCGAGCTGCAGACAGATGCACATTGGCATGCAAATACTGTACTGACATTTAAAGCTGGCTTAACATAAATGAGAGAAGAGAATGGATCGAAGAGGAGCTTTGGCCTCCCTGCTGCACATCTACTGAGGGTAATGGATAAGTTGGACCCCTCAGAACCTTTAGGGATGAAATAATTATTCCCCTGCATCAGACTTCATGGACAAATGGGACTGAGGGTCGATTAAGTTCTGAGGGGGACGTGGTGTTGATCTCATAAAGGGCATCAGGAGATGTATGGCCTCTTACAAGATCATTTAAACCACTTAATGGAGGACGGGAATTAATGGCTGCCATAGAGTAGAGTCAATTATATGGATATTTTCATAACATATTGTGTATAATTCATGGCGTAATGGCACAGACACCAATCAGGCCCTCTGCTTTTGTTTTGGTTATAGCCTGATTTAAATGAGATTATTGACTCTGTATATTGGGGTATAGAATAAGTTGCTGTCTCCGCACAGTGATATAGATGTGTTGTCATTGCCTGCCATTGTGGGGTGGCACAGTCTTGATGGCGTTGGCTCTTGTTAATTTGTATTAATGTCAGATAATTTAGAGTTGCGATGGATGTATGGGCACGCCTTGTGCTCTCAGGCAAAAAATTGGATTCATTAAGAAGACGGAGGACCTGGTTAGGATTTTTGGCCCCGTGGTTTCAGGTCACTGAGTAATGTGAAGAGATGGAGAGGGTCTTGGCCTGGAGGATGGGGGGAGCTGGTCTGAGACAGAGTGGAGGCAACAACACCCCCACACAGGAGCACATCACTCACACTGACACATCCCTCGTCGGATTCGCTGTTTTCGCCCCTCCGCTCTTTTACAGCTGGGACAGACTGTGCTTGTGACTGAGCGCAATGAAGTCACAAGGCAGTCTTAGGACAACTGTGAGGAAGACATTTTATGGCTTTAGGTTATTCTGCCTGCGTGCATATCCATCAGTGTTATTGTCTGTTGGTGTTAATTAAATGTGTGAACAATGTGCACAGGTTCACATGAAAAGGCAATCAGTACTACTTTAACTTTCATAATTACATAAAGACAGAGCACACTCACTCATGCAGACATTTGACTCAGATGAGTGTGAGAGAAGTGGCTTGGATATCAAACACGGCAGTCTCAAACAAGAGCGACTGGATGTCAGTTTCCACATTTTTCATTGAAACATGTACATGAATGGTGAAATGACAGTCAGAATTGTTTAGATGTTTTAAGGGTCCCACCCCAATCTGCACTTGCCACCAGAGGCATTAAAAACTGCTTATTTAAATGAAAAATGTACTATGATAAAGATGTGTGTGAATGAACGATATGCTGTGCGAGAGGATAAATGGAAAGATTACTTCAGGGTATCAAAATGTTTAGTTTCTTTTCTTTTTATCCCACACAAATGAACACACGCACAGTACATGCAAACACATTGGCAGTGCAGACTTTGTGGGAGGCCCTGAGCCTTGGTTCAGCTTCTGACCTCAGCACCACTCCGCTCAGCAGTTAGAGGCCATTAAATCATGGGTCTGTTTGATGTGCAAGATGCGTGCAACAGGATGTGAGGGAGAAAAAACAGCGAGCGGCCCTTTTTTATTTTTGTTTAGAATGTGCAGCCGCTTTCAGCATACGTGTCCATGTGTTGATGAAGCACACATTTTACTTTTTGAATTTAAGAACTTCTATTCTGTGTTAAACCTATAGAACTAAATGTTGCCAAACAGCAACTTCTTCTGTTCAGTATTTATTTACTTTGATAGTTCCTTAACACATTGATGATTATTTGTTTTCCCTTTTTTGTTAAAAATCCAAGCAACTTTTTCTAATTTGATTTTTTAAAGTGCCATTGATAAGCATTACTAATCATGTTGATAAACTAAATCAAAACAACTCATATTTGTCCTCACTGTATCAATAGTGGCTTAACCTTAAGCTGTGAGCATTTGCACGGTTCTGAGGGTAATCAAGCCATTAGCTAAACAGCTGACCTTCTCTTGGTAGTGTTTTTGTCCATAATTCCTGCCGTCCCTGCTTAGATTGCCCTGTAATGAATGCCAGGGGGTCTCTCCTGAGCTAAGCATCCTCATTGTGGACAGGTTGCCCATCAGTGTCCCTGATGACTTGCTATGTTCTGCGGGCACTGATAAGCATCCATTTTTCATCTCTTGATATGCGTAAACTGAGTCTGACCTTAACTCGCTGACCTCACTAATCAGTCATAGGGTCACAAGGCTTGTGCTCTTTTTGATCACACTAATGGTGCTGACAGAGAAGAAGCATGCCCAGCTATTGGCAACACTGAGGTCATCCAGAGGCGCTTTGATACGAGAATCTATAGGAATGCAAATGTGACCGGCTGCCTGACCAGTACATTACAATAGGAATAACGGCAGCCTGAGGCAGACCATTACTATTTCTCTCTGGGTTACATAAAAGACACACATAATTAGCTTCTATGAGTGTCACACAGGAGACAAATGCATGTGGCATCTTGTGTTGTTTAAACACTTTTCTGACCTCAGTCAGAACATGAGATTGATTAAGGAATTGTTTAAAGGGACACACAGGGCTAGGGTCATGAGTGATAAGTGAGGTCACACCGCGCCGTCAGCAGTCTGGTTCATCAATTTTCCCTCATACTTGGTTTAGCCAAAGTGTACAAAGCTGCTCTGGTTAATGTATTATTTTCAGTGAGATCACAACAATAGAATGATCCTTCGACCATTAAGCTACATTTTCATTTATCACTTAGACTAGAGGACAGAAAATGTGAGAGTTGTTTATTATAAATCTTTAGAACTTTAAAGTGGACAGCCAAGTCAGTCACTACAAAATCCATGCAAATAATTAACTTACTCATCAATAAAACATAAAAGATTGCTGTTCTAGTTAAATAAATTGCAGTGATCTCATCGGTACACTATGTTTATAGTCTTTTTGGCCCTGAAATATCACTTTAAGAGGTTCTAGCTATTCCTAGACATACTGTATGGACGCCCTGCTAAGCAATATAACACTATTTCCTTTCTCAACATTTGTGGAGCCAACTGAGATCTCTGCTCACACATAATCTGCAAGGCCAATAATAGCAATAATAAAACTGTACGTATTTTACTTTAGTTTACATCCTAACTTAAGATCACAACACATTATGTGTTTTTGTTTAAAGCATACATAACAGAAAATGTGACAAATGTTATCTCTGACATGAAATGTGGTGCAAAAATTCACGTAGTGTTTTTTTTTTTTTTTGAACTCATAAGCTAGAACAAAAAGCTATTGACAGTGTTCATACGGAAACTATAACTATTGGGTATTCTAAAAGTAGACCGTCTGTTTACTTGAATTCAAAGTTAATGTGATATATATTTAGTGTAAAGGGCAGGGTTAGTGTATACTTAAGGTTTGGATAGCGTGTGCAGCTTTTAGCGGCTCTTCTTACTGTAATTAAAGCTTAGGCTGTGTTAAGAGCTTGTGGGTGTGTAAATGTGGGTGTGTGATATTTTTTGTGATACACACTGAACAAGTCTAACAGTATGTGCTTTTGTGTAGTATTATAGTCAGTGCTGGAATCTAGTGATTATAATCTTAAACGCATTAACTTTATGTTAGCTTTCACAAGATAGTCTGTTGAATGCATTTGTAAAACAAGCTAATAGGCTATTTCACTGCTCTTGTACCTTTCCATGGGCTCTTGCTCGGGTGAGCTGCAACCATGTCATTAAGTGTGCAGCCTGGAGCCCTGAGCAGTGTATATATACACTGTCCTCTGCCGGGACAGGCATCCCCATCAGGGTCTGCCTGTACCAACCTCCATATGGTGCCTCGTCATTAGTTTTCTGTTGCCATGGTGCCTTGGAGGTCCATCAAACCCAAGTGTCCAATCTCTTCACAGCCTATTTCTACTCTTCTGTGACATTTCTCTCTCTGGCCAATCAGATAAGTCACACATGGCTTCACCACACAAAAGAACAACATCAGCCTCAAGCACATGTTGCTTTGCAGACAGCCCTGAGTGGAACACTGGGTTTCAAGAACGGTATCTCAGTTATTGTTGTTAAGAGTTCACTAAGTCTTGAAGGGGAGATTTGGTTTTAGGGCTATGAGCAAAGCCTTTGAGTTCAGATCAATGTGAGGATATATTTGTAGTAGGTTCTGTTTTTCCTCTCCAAGCAATTTAAGATTGTGTGCCTCGACAGTCATTTGAGATATAAGTGAATGAAACCGGTCCCCTGTAGCCTTCTACTTTACTCCAGGGCAATTCACATTTGTACAAAGATAAAATTATCTTGAGTAGAAAAAAAAGGATTGAGCAATCACAGCAAAGCATTATGGGATAATAGTAATTGAACAGAATAAAAAAAGTAGGATTTCAAATGGGGTTTGTTGTACTCAAGATAAGGAAGACCAAGGTTATTTTTGTCCACTTTTATTCTGTAATATGACCAATATCTTTTCATATTCAAGTGTGTATGAAAAAAAGTCACTGGTTTCTTAAAAAGCTAAATACAATAAGCATTGGATCAAGGCACATACAAGACTGGCCAAAGGGCATACAATGCACTTTGGTTTTCAATTGTTAAGAACAGTTAACTTCAAATTGTGGTAACATAATAGTGTGTTCATTTGGAAAACAATACAAAATAATACTCATAACAAGGAGTTGCTGACACGGTTGTAATTCTAATGAAATCGAACATGTTTTCTCTTTTCGGCCTGGTGACTAGAATGACGTAGGGTACATGGTACTAAAGAATGCCGCCATTGTCGTTTGGCCATTGTTGGCTTGTACAAATAGAGATGGTGGGGGGTCCTCTGTTTCAGCCTGTCCAGTCTACTTGTTTTGAGAAGCAGAGAGCTCCTTAAGGTCTGTGTGCTTTTTCTGACCTGTGCTGTGGTCTACAATCCTATCAAACACTGGACCCTGCTTGGGTTGCTTTGCTGTGTTTCCTCTTCTTGCTAAACAGAAAGAAAAATCACACACTGAACAAAGCAGAGAAATAAAGCATGGCACCTCATCTTTAGTTATTTGTTATCCATACCAGGTGAATACTAGAGCAGGACTCTTGGTCCTTATTATATGGAGACAGCTACTGACTGCTCATTCTTTTCGAGGGCAACATGCCTGCTTTGCAAACTAGTTGATCAGCTGTGCCTTAGTTTACTTTATGTCATTTTTTTGCCTTTTTGTTTTTCAGACAGCCACAAAGTTAAAAGAATGACCTGTGCTTATACTACAAGGTTTTCTAAGGTCTGATTGTTCAACACGGCAATGAAAACCCACTTTCACAGTTGACAAGTCATCATATCTCAGTAGAACACAGAGTTTCTTTTAGTTGGTCAATAACCTTAAGCAAAGGAAATACAGTACAAATTACTACAAATTCCTAAAATATAGAATTGCAGTTAGTTACAATACCCACTGATGGTTCAGTGATTGCCTGCAACTGGAACTTTCTTCGTCCTCATAAAATGTCCTTAAATATAAATTATATGGCAAATGTACAGAACATTGCTTCCTTAGTCTTATAGATCCAGTGTTTTGTAAAAGTCTTGCCACTCTGTTTATGTCACGCACTCATCATGAATGGCCATGCGCAATATCATGAATGGGAATGGTCTGAATCTGGTATTCCACTGTCTCTGTAGCTCCTGTTGTTAATACTGTTCTCGTTATGTGGGCTTTTGTATAATGTCAGGCCATTAGGCGGGAAAATCGTGTGTATCACAAACTCCTCCTTGGACACCGGAAGGTGATTTATAGGTATCATTTGAAAAGAAGTCTCTCGTATTTCAAGGATGGAGTTGTCCTTCTTAGTGCCAGCCTCAGCATAGTCATCCTTTCTCCTTCGGCCTTTGTTGTAGGTGCAATTCCTGGAAAAAAGCGAACCGTTCCTGTGGACATACCAACACACCAGTGCCAACATGATTATTGCCAAAAGAGCCACAGCCCCTCCAATGATAGCAGCCAAAGGCAGACTGGAATTTTTGTACGGCTCTTTCTCCTGCTCTCTGTTTAAAGTTGTAGTCGGGTTGTATGATTTGTGAGAACCAGTCTCTGTCTCGATGCAAACTGGCGTCTCATCTGACAGGTAAATGTTGCTGGTCTCCATGGGAACCATACATATCCTATAGGAAGACTCTGGCTCCAGTGCCGTGAGCAGGTACTCCTTCCTCTCCCCCTGCACAATGGTCTCAGTGATGGAGCCAAAGGCAGGACTGTGTCCCAGCTTCAGCCAGCTGAGCCGTAGGGCGGTCATGGGCTGGGACACTCTCCATGATATGTGTATTGCGTCTGCACTACTTGACTTCACACTGATGGTGATGATCTTTCTGCCCGAAGAAGTGGTAGTGCTGTGGTAATTCTTACCAAAGTCGGGCCTTTTTACTACAGGCCTTTTAGTCACAAACGAGGGCCACTGAGGCTGTGTGGGGCGTAGAGTGTTGGAGACTGTGCTTGTCTCGTAGGTGTGAATGATTTCTGAATCGGAGCAGTCAAACTGTTCTGTAGTTAGGTCTTTAATTGCCATGCCTTTGACCTTATCTGGACCCTGGCACATAAAGCCACGTACATTCACCTTAGATGGCAACGATCGCAGCCAGTCACGCACCCATTTCATCCTGCAAGTGCATTGCCAGGGATTGTTGCGTAGCAGGAGCTGTGTGAGATTGTCCAGATCTTCAAACACACCATGTGGGAGGCTGCTCAGGTTGTTGCCAGACAGGTCCAGGCGATACAACTGCCTAAGGAAGGCAAAAGCCCCAGGCGGGACCCGATTAATGTGATTATCTTGTAGCTGCAGCTTCTCCAAACTGTTGCCTGGCAAGTTGGCTGGGGGCGATGTCAAGGAGTTCCTCATTAGCGAGAGCTCGGTCAGATTGACCAGGTTGATCAGAGCCATCTCCCCAATCCCACGGTTGTTGAGCAAGTTACCATCCAGGATTAGTCGCTTTAGGTTGATGAGATCTTGCAACGACTGCTCTGAGATGGAGGAGATGCGGTTGTCATCAAAGCGCAGCTCCTCAATGCTCATGGGTAGGCCTGAAGGGATGGTGCTCAGGTGGTTTCTTGAGAGAAAAAGCAGTCTGAGGTAACTACTGTCCCTGAAGGCCCCGTCCTCAATGCTGACTGCAGATACCGAGTTATCATCCAGGTGTAGTTCCTCAATGTAGGGAATTTGAGCTAAAGTGGAATGGGTAATCATCCGAACATTATTCTCCTGAAGGTGGAGCTCTTTTAACCCAAGAGGAAGGTTAGTGGGGAATTCATCCAGATTGTTGCCGTAAAGGTAAATCTTCTCCACATTTGTCAGCGTGCGGAGCTCTGCAGGAATGCCCGAACTCTTGATGCGATTGTTTTGGAGGAAGAGCACTGTAGCATCCTTGGGCATACCAGTTGGGATGGAAGTCAGGCCACGGTCATTGCAGTAGACGAAGGTCCCATCGCAGCGGCAGGCTGAGGGACACGAGGTGGAGGTCACCAGGGGGTTAGCAAGACCCAGCAGCAGCCCGACCCTGATGATGAAGAGGATAAAGGCCTTGCATTGAGGCACCATCTTGAAGCTGTGTTGCCTGGCAGTCTAATCACTCAAGGGCCCCTGGGGAGAAGACACAAGGGTACATTTAATACACAAGGCCTTTAAAGGAGAGCCAAATTCCTGTTCTCATAAATGCCGGGTGTTTGAAATGCTGCCCGCAGCACTTTCTAGATTAAATAACTGCTGAAAAAATCAGTTTGAAATCCTCCTATTAAATGTATATGAATTGCTCATTAGGATTGCCAGAGAGCAACAATACCATTTATTTTTCCCCCTTTAATAAACAGTTTTCTTCAGATCTGTCTGTCCATCTCATAAGAAGATAAGAAGTTAAAAAAAAGTAACCTGCATTAGAAACAAAACTTCTATCAAAGAAATGTTTTAACTTCGGAACTTTGTGAATTAAATCTCTGTGCCTCGGCTTGTTGGCCCTGACTTGTGAAAGCTAATGGCATCCCGTAGTTGTTTTACACAGTTCTGTATCTCAAGGCTGCCTTTCATCGCTACTGACCACAAGAGTGAACAAAGTAAGGCTTTGTTGATGAACTGTTGTAGAACTGACATGCTCTTAAGTCCTGTTGGATCATTACCTATTCTTTTTGCCATTTAAATTCTCAGGTTTAACTTGCCGCTAACAAGGTAGCGAAGAGATATCTCCCCTCACAGAAAAGTGGTTTGAAAAACGTTTTTAGCATGTTAAGATCCAAGAGAGACAGGTTTTTATTTTACTATTTTCAGAGGCCAAAACATAACATTTGGATGCTTTATCAAACATTCCACAGTGCTATGTTAATGTTTTTTATTGTAATTGTGTTATTTTATGAGTTTAAATCAACAAACAAATTAAATGAAACAAACAGAATTCATAGCCTGGAAATGAAAAAACTGGTGAAAGGCAGAAAGTGCCAATTGGTTGTCTGTCTCTTTTTTCACTATCAATGTGTAGTTCCTTTTTTAATTAGGCTCATACTGATTTATTGCTTTAATTATGCACTCCTGCCATGACCTCTCTTCCTGCACGTCTCATAACAAATGGTGGCCTGGTCAGTGAAGTGAAAAGAAGCAAAGCCATCCGTATTTGTCATACCTGATTTATACGATGGGGTAAATCCTTTCCAGCCAACAAAAATCCAATCAGGCTTTCCTCTTGAATTTGCTCTTATCCTATCTGAAAGGAAATGTTTGTCCAAAGGGGTTTCTGGTGATATCCTGACCAGGTCAGTGTTTGCTGAGCTGATCCTTGTTTGGACGAAGACCTCCTCTGTGTAGTCAGAGGCTCATACTTTCAATGCCTTTACCATGGCAGATAAGCCTGTAGAAAAAGCATCTCCTCTTACAGATAAAACATGCGCTCTCAGGTAATATTAAAAATCCTAATGGGTGTTGAGCTCAACAGCCATAACTGCAAAGGAGATTTTTTGAGTGTAGTAAAATGCTCCGGGTGTTGGAAGGAGTGAGCTTCAGCACAGGCTCCTTTCTGCAATCAAGCCCAACAGGCATGATGAGTTGACCCAAAGCTGGTCTGAGCCATGCCAATCCTCTGTGCCACAGGCTCAATACAGGCCTTTTCACTCGTGTACTCCAGGTCTTCAGGTAACCCAGAATCCTCTGCTCCCTTGCCGAGCCTGTATACGCATTAATCCAGGGCTATGGTCCCTTTTTCTGTAGGAGATAGCCAATGTTCCCCTTTCCTCCTGGGCCCAGCCTCCCTCACTCATCTGCAGCTTGTCTTATTCTGTGCCCTCCTCACACCTGGGTGATGTTCTGAAAAAATCAGAGACAAACATATTTAGTGTCCACATTCAATCAGTACAAAATAATGATTTGACGATCATGCAATAAGTGTAATCTTTCAAGTTTTGATCAAATGCCTTTATTTAACAGATTTGAGTTAGTTATACCTTATTTTCTCATTATTTTATTCTTTTGATCTGATACATTAATCTCTATGCCCACTCATGACAGCCATTAATTTTCATGTGAAACCTTAAGTGAACCAGGTGTTGATGCTGAAAGAATAACGATTGTGTTTGATGCTGAACTCTGACCTCGCTCATATTGTGAATTTAAAATACTCTTTCTTCTGGCCTATAATTTAGCCAGTTGACCTTTTTACAGCCCTTTACTTTGACAGAGCACATTTATTTTTTTATGGAGATTCGAGAAAAGAACGTCTATGCATACGAAAGACAACATTGATCTAGACCCCAACACAATGGCTCAGGGTGGAGTGCCATTCTCAGTCCTGTTCAATCTAAGGCTGAACTTTTGGTGTTTAAGAAGAGAACTAGTCCTGAAATTAAACAAAGGTAGTCATTGCCAGTCAGATTCCACTAATAAGGGGAAAAACGGATCTAGTCAGAGCTCACTGAATGACTTGCATTGTTAAAAGCACACATGACAAATGAGGCTCATTTAAATGTTGTATGGAGAAGAGCACATTTATCCCTGTCTAGCTCCTCCGTGTGACCCCTTTGCCTCACCCCACCCTCTAAGAATGTTGTTTCTATTAGTAAAAATAGAATTTCCTTTGCTAAAGAAAATATTATGTTTCCTCTTAGAACACAATAGCCGTGCGTCCCTTTTATGTCGTGTGACCATTCATGTGACCCCCTGGCTGCCATTGTTTGCTGTAAAACATGTAAAGGTAAATTAGGAACAAGGGGCCCGGCCGTTTAACAGTTGTAGCCCATGACAAGGAGAAGATTAGGAAATTGAGAGGCTTGAAACTCGATTACAACTCCTGAGATGCTGTGTAATAATAATACCCCCCTTCCTTCTGCTCCATCTAAACACGGCTCCTTAGTCCAGTATTACATTAGTTAGATTAGAGTCTGAGGGAAAAGCACCAGATGTGACCTCTACTGACTTCTGAAATAAAGGAGTCTGACTGGGGGGGGGAAGAGATGAAATTCAGTAATGGAGTTTAGAAAATGGCGGGGTGATAGAAGGATATGTGATGTCTGTCTGCTGGAATGAACTTTTAATGTAGCACTTAGTCAAGCTATTTCAATTTTAAATTGCCCTTTTCACCTCATTTTGTAAAGTTCCCCATCCTCTGAATAATGTTAAGTATGTAGTCTTGATATGAATCCTTGAATTCTTAGCATTACATAAAAGAAAGTAATTATAAATGCAATTCTTTCTTATCAATGGAGACCAGCAGGAATTATCTGCACTTGGAATTATAGGCATGTAGAATTGAGATACAGGATGATTCCCTGAATAAATAGCTATTATATTGCACATCATGTTCATGTTAGTTTAACTTTGGCCACTACAATTCTGTTACCTGCTAAGAAAAAGAATATGTCTCAGTGTCCAGTACAAAGGGCAAGGGACGTGGTTATTATCTAGTGTAAATATAGTCAGAAAGAGCTACAAAAAAAAACGTAGCATACTGTATCATCGTTAAACTGTGGGTGACGTCTGCTTTGAAACAAGCACATCATGCTTACTTTACGAGGGGCAGTCAGGCCTAGATGCTGGGCTGTTTCTTCCCCCTTCCCTTTTTTTACGCTCATCGGATTTCAGGAGAGTGGCCCCTCTCTTTTGTTCACCACAAGGCAAGCATGTGGACCTTGTAACCTCAACAGAGGTATTAAAGCAGTTTATTCAGGCAATTTAGAAATGCCTCTCCTTTACACAGTCCACTTTGGAAGCCTTTTCTCTTGCATTTACTAATAACGTACACCCACACGCATGTACGTACGGACTCTCACCCACGTTCAAATGTGCACACTAATCATTTTGAGGGCAATGAAGGCTGAGTTAAACATTTTTAGTGATGGATGTCTTTCTCCATCGTTCTAATAAGCTCTGCCGGCCGACAGTCAAAGTGGCTTCTGCTTCATTTAATCTGAACTGGCAAAGTTAAATTGAGCATCCTGGTAAAATTGTGTGTACAGCTAGTTACCTTTCAGTGAAGAGTGTGGGAGGCTCACACAAAGCTGGACACTGATAGCCATTGTGAGCTCAACACGCATAAATGCACATCAGTCTGCAATAACAGAGCCCGAGACTTTGTGCCCCCTAGTCATACACTGCACAAGAAAGGCTTTGGAAAACCTCAAATAGAAACAATTTCATGCCTGTCAAAAGTATTGCTGATTATAATGACTTTAGTAAAATACAGAATAATATTACACTGGCTGCATTTAGGAGGGAAAGTGCTGTAGAAGTAGTAATGGCTGACTGTTAAATTATTCATGAGCCCTGGAATTAATTTTGAACCACAGTAGAGCCCTCCATTGGGAAATCAATGTTGTTTGTATCTGCTGTTGATTATTTATTCTAATTCATAATATAGTTTTGAATTATGGTTGATTGCTCACAAAATTGTTATTTTGGGTGTACATTTATTTTCAGATTTTGGTCTTAACATATGTTGTTTCTGTGATGTGATTTGGCAAGTTGTTTTGATTTTAAGGACACGCAATTCAAACTAGAAAACATTTGCTATGGTTGTGTTATTATGCAAATAAACATTTGTATTCTGGCTGCTAAAGCTATCTTAATATCTAAGCAAAGTGAAGTTTCCAATTGTATTTTGTCATATAAAATAGTTTATTTCATGATTTTCTGCTGAAGGAACATTTTGTTTTTATTGTTTTTGTGCCATGTCTTCCCTTTGATTTACATATTAGTAAGCTGCATGTCAGGACACCAAGCAGCAGCCTGCTGTGGTGCCGAGACACAATGGAACATTCATGATCAGATCTGAATTCACAAGACACCTTTCAGGCGAAGAGAAAATGGGCTCAAATCTGTGATAGCTTCACAGATTTGGTATGTGGCCTCATAGTGCGGTCTTTAGATGGGTGGACCAGATGATACTTTTGCCGGTCCATTAGGAGCACAGAGGCCTGGGACGGACGGGGGTCTCTCTTTTGTAACAGGCTGAAAGGAGAGATCTGTAGCAGCTGCAGTGGTTTTTCCCCACATGGGGGTGGTAGGCACTGCAAGATGATGTGTGTGTGTGTGTCTGTATGTGACAGGCAAACACCAAAACACTGAATACTCATGTTTAGCTGCTCACAGGAGCCCATCTCAGCACAGGCCAGACACCTACCTACAATACACAGGTTTGTTAACCTCACTTCTGGCCCATCTACGGTTTTTCCTGAGTCATAGTGCTGGAAAAGATTTTCCCTGCAGTGTTTATGCTTTGCAGCAATGTTTATACCTTTTTACTTTAATCCCCCATTTAACAATGCAAAACAATTTGACACTTAAAGTTTGGAATATTTGGTAAAAAGCACTGCTCAGTGGATAAATAAATTATGAAAAGATCTGCAGGCCTCCTCAGAGTACAGTGTCAAATCTGAAATATGTCTGGGTATTTCTCAGTCTTTTTTATCACTCTCTTCCCTAACAGTCATTCATATTTTATGATTTAACTGTTGAGGCAATAGAATACTCTGTCTGTAGTGACCTGGTTAGTTGTTAATCTGCAATGTGAATTCCCTCTGAAAGCAATTGACTGGGGACTTTTGCCTTAGGCGGTATAGACAATTGGGTCTGTCCTCATGTCTACTATGTTTAACAGGCTATTTATTCCTTTGTCTCTCAAACACCCTGACAACAAAGAGCTACAGTTACATTGCCTGATAATTGAAGTCAAGTTTGCATTTATATATAGGCTATGTGTAAAGCATGGCTGCCCTTATCATCTCAAAAGGTTATGTTAAATTGGATTTAAAAACTGCTACTGCCCTGGAGTTGACTATAAAACATCCAGCTTAAATACAGTGCATGAGAATTGAAGAAGAGTATTGCATTTGGCTTGATGGTATAAATATCAAGTTCATATGTACAGTGTATTTGAGTCATAATGATATAGTTTAACATGAGAATGTTAGTCGGCCATATGAGCAGGATGTATTAAATTGCGTCTATTTCTGGGTGCTATTATTACGGCAGTCAGGTAGGCCTATGTGTTTTGCGTCATTGTTAATGTTACAGTATGTTATGTGCGTTAAATGAGCCGTTGCTTGTGTACAAACTGCTGCCTATGGAACATTTTAAGGGACTTTCATGACTGCGCCCCTACAAAATAAGCTCTCATAACGTTGTAATGTTCTTTTTAAGGGGACGTACCTATTATATTCAAACTAGTTGCAATTTAAAGCAGTATATTTTAATGCATAAAAGGGGTGCTCCGAGTGTTAGACAGTGGCGCTGGGGACGCATTTAGCGGACTTTCTGCAGCTGCCCCTTCATGTCTGACTCCGCGGGATCTGCACCGCAATTTCAGATTCACGCCGGGGAGTCTGCTCGAGCTGCAGCGCTGAGACTAGATCACACAGCCCCGCTAATCCTATCAAGTTTGCGTATTCGCCACTCTTTATTTTCCCCACTTGTTTGGGGGAAATTCTAAGCTGGAAATGAAAGATTTTAGACGCCGCTGTTGCTCTTTTTAAAGTGCTTTTTACATGTTGTGACCAATGTACTGAGGCGGAGTGTGGATGTGATCTAGAAATGTAGCGTGTCGAAACAAGAAAAGCATCTGTACAGGCAGAGTGGAAACACGGGAGAGCAGAAACAGAGATGTTCTGTTTGTGGGCTCTGCTAGAATAAATAGGGAAGCAGCACAGGGTCGGAGCAGCAAGTTGCAGACATGTGAGGGACTTGAGATGACGAGACGGATTAATCTGTCCAAGTCAGATTTCATTTGCCATACTGAGCAGAATGACTCGCAGTGCGTAAACTAGGGCTCAATTTGATTGTTTGGAAGAAATATGCACTCACGATTCTTTTATCGCTTAAAGCGTTGCTTCGCATCTATCACAACCCCATCACAGAAACCAAATAATGTTTCTCCTTGACCGAGTATTCAAAAGGAAAACAAAAAAGAAAGAAAGAAGAGGGGGATAACTAATAAATAGACAAGCAACTCCTTAGGATCCCGCATGATTTTGAATTCCATCTGCCAGAAAGAAGATCCAAAAAGATGAAAAGGATGCATTCCCAACAGGATTGTACCAGCAAAACACACTTACCTCTATAATCAACCAAAAAAAGGGAAAGTAACAGGTATCCTCTTAAATTGGGGTTCACAACGGGGGAAAAACATATAATCCAATCCAGGAGGACTTCAATTCAAATCCAAAAGAGCCCCTCTCACTCACAAGGCTAGAGCTATTTGGAGTTTATCTTTAGCAGCACTGCTCTGTTTACTGGTGCTCCCCACACACATACACAATCTGTAGGCTGTGCAAGGACGTTGGTGCACGGGTAGACCTCCACACAAATGTGGAGTTGTGCTTGCCTCTAGCTTCAATAGAGCACTGATGTCATCTGGAGGCGGGGCCTGTTTCTCTCACTCTCTCTGTCCCCCCTCTCTCTCTCTGTTTGGGAGATGCACAGAGGAAAATGCAGTGTTGGATGGATACACTAGGGGGAGTGGAGGAAAGGGGAAAGGCACTCACATCCCTTTCAGATGTGTGCACATAAGAGTGAATAGTCACTGGTTGGAAAGCAATGCAAACTGTCAGAAATATACAGTATGTTGGTGATTGAGATTCAATCTATTGTAATGTTTCATTTTAGGTAACATGTGGTTTTGTTAGCTCTAGTTAAATTATTGTTCCACATTTGTTTGAGATGTGTCAGGATAATTCATGATTAGGTTTTTTTCATCAGGGGCTTCATTACCGTTGTTATGATTTGTCAGTTGAATTATCCCAGGTGTTGCTTTTTATATTTAAATTGAGTAAATGTCTTTTGTCAAAGAAGAAAGTACATGTTTTATAATTATCAACCTGTATTTTGCCGTAGCAAGTGTAATAATTATATAAAATACATCTAAAACCTGTGCCTTTTACTGTGTGAAGCCAATATCAGACTAGCTATTCAAAACAAATAATAAGAAGAGGCTTTGACACGTAATACATAATTGATGATGTTGTCACACTAAACCAGAATAATTAAAAGCAAGAATTATGCGGATTCCTAATTTATGATACAAGGTTTGATGCTGCATATGCTTATGTGTGCATGTGGCGTAAATATTTGTGTTATGCTACTCGATAGAGGATGGGAATGTGTTTGCTGAGACATACCTGAACCATTTTGCCTTTTGCCCCTAGTGCTGGCTGTTTGACCCTCTTTGGTTTCAATGTTTAAATAAAGCCAAACAGTGGCCTGAAGGCCCAAAACGGCAGTGAGTCACCCTGTTAGTCAAAGGGTTGTACATCAGATCTGACCCAGCCGACACTCTCTCCTGCCCTGCGTCATCTCCAGTGTCTCCCCCCCCGGCTACCTGACAGGGCAGACATTACAGCTCGGTGCATTGAGCCGCACTAAAGCAGCTCTGTTTCTGTTGGTAAATATATCAACTTCCTGTCGATGACAGTGGGTCAGTGATCAGATCTGCGTGTTGCTGTCTCAGTAATGTGATGTCTCTTTTCTTACTTGTCATACACTTCAATACTACCTTTTCTTAATTACCTCAAACCTATTATGCTATTTAGCTGCTAAAGACTGGAGGGTCTGCATTCATTTTCAGTAAACAAACTGGTATGTTAGAGAGGTGTTATTTATTCGTTCTGGATAGCCCTAAACAGAAATAGTAAACAACAATTCATTTTTTTTGTAAAGATGACATACAACCAGAATGAAAACCCGTTTATAGTGGTATTTTACTCATGTTTTTTGCCCATGAGCTGATGTGGACCTCCACTCGAGCCAATGGTTATTGCCTCATTAGGATTGTGCATACTACACTAAATTGAGTGTGTAAGTGTCTGACGCCGCTGACATCTCATGCCCAGTTGTTTGCTAGGGCAAAGCTACTTCAACTTCAGCCTCACCACACGGTTCAACCATGATTGCCATCTTAACTTGAGTACCTAATTGAACGGGCATGTACTTAAGTTTGGAGCATCTGCCGAAACTAGACCTCCGGTGGAGTTTTTCACATTTGTTTGCTTTCCAACTGGAGTGGCTCTCACTTTTGTTTGAAACACAAGTGGATTTGTAGACAAATATAAATAGTCTGCTTGTATGCTGTTCATTTGGAGGCACATTTGTTTGAAATAACATTGAAATTGTGCTGCAAAGTTTCTACTGCGGCTTAATGTTTTGCTACTTTGTTAATGAGCTTAACTATATCTTTTGAGTCCAGGTGTTGTATACCAAATGCTGCGAGGTGAGAAAAGGTCAGTCTCGGACATCCTGACTTGATCCTTGTCTTCCCTCGAGGGGGACAGAGCAGGGAAACCTATGCCTGACCTCGCCATGCCTTCCTCTCCTAAATCGACTGCAGACACATCTGTCAGCGGCTGCTGATTGACCCTCTCTCAGACGTACAAAGAGCCCCACTGGAGGACGAGGGTGTTGGGTTTCTGTTATCTCAAGACCAGGGAAATCTGTTGCCCTGTTCATCTTTTGTTCAAGGGGATGGGTGTTCTCCTTTCCCAAGGATGCTCTCTGGCCAATTTCACCCCGTTTAGACAACAGACAGGTTGTTTCCTACTCAGTTGTGTGTGTTTGCAGAGATAGCTAAATATATTAAGCCACTTGATTTTGCTAAGTGCTGTCTAAAGTGCCTTCTGGCTCTGGTGGCAACAAAACAACTGTTGAGTGTGCACTTGGTCTTGTTTTATATCAGACTGTCCTGATCCCAGTTTTTGTCTCTCATGACAGACATTCGACCAGATAATTGATTTACTTTCTTTGCTCTTGCTGTGGTCAATAGATAGATCTTGCAGTTGGCAGGCTGTGGTGTCCTACTTTATGGACTGCCTGCAAACTACCTATTCTGATTGGTATGTAATGTAGTCTAGGTGTTATGGATATTATTTTATCTCCCTCAACTTTCCGTTTATCTGTCACTTAAGCTTAATGCGTGCTCACTGAAAAGCTTGTGTGAAATACAATAGGCCCCAAAACCGCTCAGGGGCTCGCAGGGGAAAAAAGGAGACTGATTTCCCCTCATGTCTGCTTCCTTGCTCTGACTGGCATTCATTATTGATAGACTTTCCGTGTTCTTAACCAATGCCAAATAAAGGGGAACATGTAAAAAGGCTGCTGCCAAAAACCCCCGCTTTGTTTTTCATTTACCTTCTGCTTTATTTGCATATTCATCCTCTACAGGCAATCAGCAGAGATCTTTGCTGTAGGCCTTTCATCTCTGCTCCGCCATCCTGACAGGCAGCTTTTCAGTATCACAACAGTTTAACTAGGATTTGTGGATGAGAGGTGCTGTTGGTAATGCTAGAAATTTCACATTTTTGATTTACAGAGGGTGTAATGTGTGTGACAGGGATAGAAAGAGGGTTTATGAAAAAAAGAAAAAGAAATTGATAAATATGTAGACGGATGTTGGATTTCATTAGTGTGGGTTCGAACAGATGTAAATGCTGGAATGCAAGAGAAAACACCTAATGATAGAACTTGTTGGATCTTTATGCATATAAATGCAGAAGTCAGTAGAATGGTGGGGCATGGTTGCTCTGCAGTAAGATACTAGTCTCTTCTGATGCAGATCCAAGATATTCAGTGATGTGATGACCACTTTATCTTTTGAGAAAAGGATGTTGCCCATGAAAAAGACTGGCGTCAACAACAACAACAGAAACTGAGACTAAAGGGGCCGACATCCTGCTGCTTAGGCAAGTCTAGGGGCCAGTGGTCAGCTTGGGCCTTGTGTTTGTTGAAGAATGACAAGCCATGCAAATAGCCCTGTCGGCTGTTTTTCCCCGCGTCTTTTGTTTTCTTTGGCTGTTTCTGTGGTTGCTGTTGTGTTGTTTGTATAGACAGTGGGACTGAGGGATGAGCGAGTTCCATCAAAAAGATAGAGGGGGGTAGGAGCTGACTTGTCAACCTTAGAACCTCCCATAGGTTAATGACCCCAAACACAATGCTCTGTGATCAGATTAGATTGAGCATCCCCCTTCCCAATGTGCTAATCAGCACACTAAAGGAGATAAAAGATAGAATTAGCATACAGTGTTTTCACAGTCCAGCGTACATCTCAAATGTATCTAATTGTAGCCCTTCTCTCTTGCTTTGTAACTGGTTTACTATTCCTGCACTAAATCTGTAATTAGCCAACTTAACATCTTTTCCCCAGTCTTCGTTAAATGGTAGCATTTATCTTTACAATGGACTCTATATGCTTGTGTAAGCACCGACAGAGCCTTAAAGACAAACAGGCACCTTTCTGATTTCCAAACTCATCAGCACATTCCTTCAGTATATGGGTGATTTGAGTGCTTTGGTCCTGTGAGATTAGAAGTTTGAGTGTCTTATGAAGGGTCAGTTAGGGTTTACAGCTGTAAGGAGCGGAAGTAGGGCTAATGTTATCTAATGAAACAAACCATGTTTTTGTTGCTCTAGATAAGATAAGCTATATTGTACAAGACCTCAAGGACTGTAATGGCCCTAATTTGAACACATACAGGAAATGCGCTTCATAGGCATCAGGATTTTGGGTAAATAAATGGTAGAATACTTAAAAAAGGGATGTCACACATCACTGCCATCACCATGATCAAAGTGTTCACTTATCTGTGCCAAACACTAACTGACTTTTCTCTCTCTTTGATCTGCATGACTTTGTTTACTCTCTTGAGTCACGTCTTAGAGAAATCTTAAAAAAATAAATTTCTCTACTTAGTTTTTTTCCACGACTGAACCCGATTACAAACTACTAGGAAAATACAAAAGTAATACAGGATGTTTCCATATTTTCATGGGCTTTAGAGCAAACTTGGGAACATCAGTACTCTCAACCCTGAGCTGAGGCTTCAATCACTTTCCTAAAATACATTCTCATTATCCAGTTCCGCACTTGCATGTGGTTGTCTCGAGTGATATCATTCAGTTTGCATTCTTATGCTGTTAGCTGGGAGAAGTTATCTTGACATTTTTTCATTGTGGTGGTGGAAAGCCTCTTAGGGAACCAGAGCCACTTAATTGGCATTAAACTTCAGCAGAAGGTGTTTTCTGGTAACACCTTCAAACAACAAGGAGGTCTCAGCGTCTGAAACCAGTTATTTAGCACTCATCATGAGTAACTTGGATATCAGATTGCTTATTCCTCCTTATCCAGGATCCACATTCAAAGGAAAACTATAGAAAGTGATGATGGGGGAATAAAAGCACCGGTAGAGTCGAGGAGACATTTATGACTTTCCTGAAAGAAGTGCTCGCAGACTGCCCGCCCACCTTTTAGCGCCAGAGTGTAAGGTGCTTGTGGTGGAGCTGTGAATGACATGTTTTAGGTTAA